GGCGAAAACGCATCGACTCGACGGTCAACGTTACCCTCGAATCGACAAACATTTTCTCGTCAACATGAAGTATTCCAATATTTTATTTTCGTCTATTCCGCGCATATCGAATCGGGGAACAGAGAGAGAGAGACTGGAAGAAAGTGTGTACATCGTCTCGAGAAGAGCCTCCTCGGTTTTCGTAGCGCGAAAAGAGAAAGCGCGATAGTGTTTCCGGCGACTCGGACCAGGCTCGTCGCTAAATGATCCGCGGTCGACAACTGGGGACAGGACAAACGATGTGTAGCTCTCTGTCGGCGTGGTTCCCGTGGAAGGGAGGCGCGCATGCGCGAGCCAGCCAGTGGTGCACATACGGCCGGCCGTGACGTCACGCGACGCCCGATAACACTTTTGTTGTCGTCGGGACTATCGTCGTACGTGCGCCGCGATTACGCGTGACGCACAGATCAGTTCGAGACACCGTGCGCGTCTCACGCGAAACGCGGCCTCGCTCGCGCTCTCCTCGGCACCGACGACGCGCTTCCATTGAAATTTCTCTTCGGCTCCGTTCGGATTATCCTCGGGTGCGCGGATTCTCGCGGACAGTCGATCCGCGTTCGTTCCGTTCGCGCTGCTTCCCCGGCGACTTGTATTTTCTTCTTTTCCGATGGTGCATCCAGCCGAGGAACCTGGAAAGTGTAACGAGCGTGCACGTCCGACGAGACACGGTTTTCCATAGTTCGAAAGTGAGTTCTCTATCGACGATTCACGGCCGCCGCCGCCGCGTACCTTTCGTTCTTTCCGTTTTTCCGAGTACCTGTTGTACCTGTTGTACCTGTGCGCGATATTCGGAACGGTAAGAAATTATTCCGCGTAACTACTCCGCGGCACGTCGCGGTATTGTATTATTGGATCGTCCTTGAGAAGTAGAACGAACACGCTCTCGCAATAAAAGTAACCTCCCGACAGATCCACGCCAATGGGACACGAGTGATTTCTACATCGAGCGAAAAGTGAGGTTAAAGAATGCGCGGAGAACGCTGCGTTCCACTTCGAAATATGCTTACCGGTGGTTCCCCGCGAGATAGGTGTACGCGTCGGCGGATACCCCGCGAACAAATAGAAACATCGATACGAGTGCGACGCGGATCGAACGGTGGAATAACGATAACGATTCTCGCCGAACCGCCGTCAGCTAATTCCCGCTTTTCTGCCGCTTTTCTGCCGCTTCTCTAGTTTCCGGCTACGGAAATTTTCGAAATTCTCGCTCGGTAACGAACAGTGGCCGGCAGTGCTCGGTTAGGTGTAAAGCGAGATGCGCGCGGTTGATAATGAAACGTAATGCGCGTAAACGGGCCGAAACGGTGAATAAATATCGCGAGTTCGAGAGGATAGAGGAGCAGCGAATCGGCGCGCACACGGGCCCGACTCTCGGTCCGTCTGTCCGCGTTTATTTAGAAGCGTGTAAAACTGCTCGCTCGCCGATTTCTTTTTACCCGCGCATTCCTTTCAAGGCCCCTGCAGGGAACGGACGGGCGGCAACGGTCCGACCCGGTCGTCCCCCATGCACCGACCGCTTTCTACTTTGAACGGTTCAATATGGTCGCTCGTGGAAGCGTTTTCTTCGGTATGCGTGACGCATTCGTACACACGTTTCGTGATCGTTTTCCCACCAATCCTGTACGCAACGTCCAACGCAAATATTGTTACAACGATTGTTATTATCATTGTCGTTATCGTTGTCGTTGTTGTCGGACGATTAGCTGCCGGACAAATACGCTCCATCGTTCGATCAACAAATCGGCAATTACGCCTGTGTGTTTTCCGTTGATCTTCGTTCGTTCGTTCGTTCGTCCAGAATTAGTCGGTGACTGGACTCTCGATAAGTTCTCCTCGGCGAGCGTACGAACGAGTAGAGAAGCGTGAGAAGAAACTCGGAAATCGGCACTGCGCTCGAGAGCGAGTAGCGATCCTCAAACGGTTAAGTATGTCTGTGTTTTGAAACGACAGGTTTAAACGGATCTAATTCCGGCCGAGGTCAAAGCTTCGTTTAATTGCCAGACACTGCTCCGCTACGGTGTGTGATGTAAGATTAGATGTAACGGCATCGGGGTGACGTTATAGTTTTTAGAACGATCCTCGCGAGCCCACTGCCCCGGAAAGCCACCGCTTCCAGAAACCTTGGTTCCTCCTTGAATTTCGAGCACTCGGAGAACCTTATCTCCGCGAAGATCGATACAGATAAATATGAACCGCGCGCGACACGAAATATCGAGCGTCGATCGTCGACCGCGTAAACGTCGCAGTTTTCGGTCTCGAACTGCACAGCCCGCGAACGAGAGCCTGTTAAATGCACACGCGCGATCCGCGAATGCGTCTGTAATCCGGATTCTTCTCGGCCGCGCGAATAATTTCGGCCATATCGACAGTTACGTTCTTTCGAGTAACTGTATCGGGGAAAAATGACACGGCGGTCGGAGGGAAGAAGAAGTACGGTACGCGAGCGTGTGTCCGTGTGCGTGCGAATGTATACCTAACACGCGGCAAACCGACGGAAAGGGGTGGGGAAAGGACGACGCGCACGAGTCAGCGACTCCGAGCCAGAGACTGTGTACAGGTTAGGTAACGAGTATCCATGCCGGTTTTTTCTCCTCGCGGAGAAAGTTAGTTTAGGCACGCTTGGAGCGTAAAATCGTCTCTCCGCGTGGCACAGTTCTTCTCCGTTCTCCGCGGCGACGGAGTTAAATGAAATTGCCCGACGAACAGCCGTCTCTCTAGAAAGAGTAGTCCCACCAGCGCGAGAAACGGTTCTCTTTCGCGTTCCACCGTTTCGAAATAATCGTGCGCCTCGTGACACGACGATTAATACGGTTATCGACGCGGCCGAGCACCGAACCCCCCGCATCGCCGTATCGATTAAGGTTCGGCACCGATACGAACAAATAATTTAGCAACAAGTGTCACGTGACGCTCGGGACGTCGATTCTTTCGACGCGATTAGCGTAATGCGCCGCCGAGCGGCCATTTTGTTGTCGGCACCGAAACGTGCGCGAGTCGCCCTCTGCCGGCCGATCGAGCAATCCGTTGCCCGAATTATTTCCGTCCGCGAGTATGACTCAGCCGGTCATTCTTGGAAATCATTTCCGGCGGGATTCATCGCTTCTCGTTAAATCTTAATAATTACGTACGAAAACGCGCACGGTGAATCATTTCGCGGGAAGTACGCCGCGGAGCCCGCGTCAATCCGATTCTCCCGTGAGCCACGCTTAACCTGCAAAATTGCCGTCGTTAACGATTCCCTGAAATATTTCGTCCTTTGAACGGGAGTTACCGTATCCCCTTTTCGGTCGGATATCTCGGCGAACAGAGCGTAATTCCATGTTATTTCCATGATCAGCCGTAGAAAAAAAAATGCTCGCTGCACCGTTACACGGTACGACACGTCCGTTGAACGGAGGGAAAGGAGCATCAGGGGCGCATCCTTCGAGTTTCACGGTTTCTCGCGAATCGACGTGGAAATCGGTAGGGCCGATGGTCGAACCTTTCTTCTCGCGAATCCGGCGCCGTGCATATTTTCAGGCTTCTCCGCGGACGGGAATGTCAGGGAAGTTCGCGCGTTGCAGGGGAATTCCGTTGCTGCCGTGCGTACAAAAAGCGAACTCTATAAATAGTGCATTACGCAGTCTGTTAATCGGTCACGCATGCCTCGCGTCTCAGGGAACACTGATATCCTATCGGTTCGTCGGAAAAATCTCATTTCCGATATCGACGGTTTCGTTACTCGCATTCGATTGTTCCTGTCACGTATGAAACGACGTGATTTATTGGCCGATCGAGTTACACGCGACGCGGACGGAGCAACAGACGATAGCCACTTATTATATTCCGTCGGTCTTTCGAATCGCGTCCAATCAATTTCCTCGCGATTAGTGCCACCGAACGAGACACCAGAGCGGATACAAAGCATACGCAATCCTGTTTTCCGCGTGCTCTGAACACTTTCGTTCGGTCCGCCGATCGACCGATTACGACCTAAAAATTGTTCCGAAAGTGTTGCCGTGGGTCAAAAGGTCTCTTCGTTGTGCTCGTCATCGTGACGCGATTGTACCTCGCGGTGGCCGAATAAACGTGGTAAATAAATATTTATAAAGAGGGTGTTACGAATAAACTTGCGCGTCGAATCATAGCGTATCTGTGCAAGATATTTAGAAGCAGGATAAACCGTAGACGTTAACGACGAGCGAACGTCCGTCGCGGTGTCGAGTCCGCCGACAAATTAAAAACGAACCGTACCGTAACGCAGACGCGATTGGTCTTATTAGCATTGTCGGAGAAATCGCTGGCTGGTCCCGATTCGTCGAAAGGCGACGCCGTATTCAGGCCAGTCGCGACAAAAGCGGAAAAGAATACAAGAACACGTAAATTCGTGGTCACGTTCCGCTAACCTTACCCACTGTAATCGGCCGGCATTACCGTCTCTCCCCGGCGGTACCGTTACGCGAGCGTTTCTCAATTTTTTTGTCGCGCATAAACGACAGGGTGTGCTTCGGTCGTCGAGGGTTTCTAAATCGGTGCCCGCGGCCACTCCGCCGACGCTCCCCTCGCGAAAACTTCCCCTCTCCTCCGCTACTTTTGCCCGCGCGGATCGAACGCTACATAGAACTGGCAGTCACGTACACAGTCTCGGGCAGCTCCTTAAGCGGAGGTGGCGGGGGTAGTAACTCGGACACCTCTGTCGTCGCACCTCACCTGTTACTTGGCGTTTCGCGCAGAGGTTGTGCCACGGCAACGTCGAGCCGCGCGTTTAATCTCCAATTATGGATTAATCGAGCAATTACGGAGACGTTTGTTAGTTTTCGACGGAACGAAAGAATGTACGTCTGTCCGTCGCCGCGGGTCAAAGAGTCGACCCGTCGTTGCCGCTTATTATCGTTTGTTTACGTTGCTGGACGTAACTAGATCGGAAAGAGAGCACGCACGGAACGACTTTGAATGAATGTTTTCCTCTTCTCTGGTTGCAGACGCTAAGATGAGATTAGAAGAAGATCTCGTGATACGCAGGAGCCGACCCACGATGATTTCCGCAAAGTATCGCGCGAGAGAGGAACGTCGACGTCTGCTGAAGATTTCCGCCGGTAAGCTGAGGAGGATCGAGGATCCGGAGGCGAGCCTCTGCAGATCGGTTCTCATCAACAACGCCGTCAGGCGACTGCAACGCGAGAACAGGGACGAGAAGACGAGGAATTACGGACTTCCGGTGGTCACGTATCTCAACGACTCCACCAAAGAGAACAACGTTTCTAGCAACCTTATCGTCGGCCTGACGGATGACGAGACCTCCTCCAGGAAAAGGTACGGATACGAACGATTGTTTTAGGAAAAAATACTAGTTACAAGTTGGGTCCAAGCTTGAAGAAAATTAGAGGAATAACGCGGATCTAGATCTCTCGGTAATCGCAACAAACGCGGGCTCCTTCTTCCAACCGGAGAATTGTGCGAGAACCACCGATCGGATCTACGCGCGCGGTAGCGGAAAAAGAACGCCGTATCTTAATCGCCGGGGCTTCGTTTTACATAATATACGTGACGCAAGAAAGCAACGGGGAACGGAGCGAGCGTTCGCGCGCTCATTGCGCAATATCTTGGGGGATTGTCGACTCGCGCGTCTCCGCGTAACTTCCTAGAGAGAGAGAGAGAGAGAGAGAGAGATGTATACTCGTCCGAGACAGTGAAGATCGATGGCGGCTAATCACGATTTATTTTCTATAGATTGAGCGACGACACGAGGAACGACGGACTCGGCTCTAAGCGTCAGAGGCACGACGACCTCGACCTCCAGGACGACGTGTTCAGCGATTTCTACATCCTGCCGCCGACACCGCGGTTGCTTTCTCACATCGACGAGGTCCAAGAGTCGGAATCGGCGCATCGCCATCACCTGGTCTGCCCGGAGAATCGTCTGGGCACGGTGGACGTCCGATCGTCGACAACGATGATCACGACCAGCACCGCGAACACGACCACCGGTAACAATAGCAGCAGCAACACCAGCACCGGCACCACCGGCACCACCGGCACCACCGGCAGCGGCAGCAGCGCCGTCGGCGGCAGCAGTAGCAACGCGAGCAACGACAGCACCAGTAGCACCACCGGCGCGAGCAATTGCTGTAGCTCCGTCATGTTCCCCGGCGAGCTGGACGATTCCGGCGCGCAGCTGAACAACGTCGTCGCGAGATCCGGCGACGTCGGAATGATGGAGGCCTCGGACGTCGTCGACCCGGACCGGATCTGCGACTTCGCCAGGTTCGCGGACTCGGCCAAGAGCCTCGAGGAGCGTCTGGTCGAGCTACAGTCGCTGGACGAGCACTTCGACCTAGCCAAATTCGAGAGGAACAACAATCAGAGCTGTGGCAGAGCGTTCCACGATATCCAGACGTTCCACAGTCTAGTGCCGGGCCTGGAGACTTAGAAGGCAGCCCCGTGCCTCGACCGCCACCCTCCTCCTGTCGTCGTGCCCGGCTCGATGGAGAACCGCGGGACCGACCACGACGACCTGGGCAGACGGTTTCGCGGCACACACGATCATACACGGCGAGGATGAACCTGGATTTCGGGTGTGAACGGAGGAAAAGAGAGGACGAGCAACACCGACGACGGGCCGCCCCTTCCCCTCCTCGCGCTCCCGTTCTGTCGAGGATGTGTTTGGTACCGAGGATTCGGCAGAGAAGACTTTCCTTCGGTTGGCTGGCTGCTCGATGACCCACCCTCTCGCGAGCGGACGCGGCCCGGCGAGGTCGGGTACCGTCTTGGGAACTCGACGCGAACGAGTAACGATCTCCTCTGTCCCGTACGCGAGAACGGGGGTGGTCGTCTCGTCTACCGAGACTCGGCCTCGTCGTCGCCCGATCGTACGAGCTTTCGGTATAGATAACAAGTTAGGAAAAAGGGGGTGTGGGGTACTCTCGTCGAAGTCGTCGCGACTTTGCTGGAGGTGGACGGGAGGCAGTGTCGCGAACCCGTCGAGTAACGCGCGATCGGGGAACGCTATAGGATGCTTTTCGCGTAACCTCGACGAAGGGGCCGCTTCTTCGTCGTTAGCCAGATACGTTTTGGGCACCTTGTACGTTTCTTTAGGGTTGAACGCGGTACCTCGTGACGCGCATACGCGCATCGACGGGTACCGGACCGTGGGGGTGTACGTACGAACATCGGTACCAAAATATCCTGAATTACGCATAGGTATATATGTAGCGTATACATATATAAATAGGCGTAATTTGTATATATTCGAGTATGTTTGTAAGAATACGTTATCGGTAACAATATAGATGAATTTGTAGTGGAATTTTCTCGACGGACAAGTTTACGCGACGAGCAACAGGCGAGAAAACGCTGAACGACAAGATGGCGCTCGTGACTCTGTAAAAAAAGAATGCCTTTAGAGAGTAGCGTTGCGAGAGTTAAAGAAATTAAGAAACAAAAGAAAAAAAACGTGTGGTGGTGTGCGATGAAATCGATACGGATTCGCTGTACCCCGCGATAATGCCACGATGGGCCTTAATTGTTGCGCTGCGTTGTTCGATTATGAAATTAACGATAGTTTTGTCTCGCGTGTCGTCCCTCTGTTCCACCGGTAACGAGGGCAAATGCGTTCCCTCGTGCTTCGTCGTCGTCGTCGTCGTCGTCGTCGTCGGTCTCCTCGCGATCCTTCGACCGCATCGATCGAACCGATCCCGATAGACTTTTTCAATTGTACGTCGAAGATCTCTTCCGTTGTAATTCGATTAAATTCGGTTGGCCGTACGCGACGCTCGCGCAGCGTTCGCGGTGAAGCGGACGAAAACGATACGGCGGGTCAGTGTCGAGAGCTGGAGTCATAAATAGTCGGCGGACGTTCACGCGACTCGGAGATTCGTTCGAAAGCAACCTTAGGCGTTCTTGACGCGTATCGCGAGCTAAATCGGAGGTGTTCGTCTAACGGCCCCCATTTTCGTTGATTCGATTTCGAACAGTGAAACCGAACTCTTATTTACGATTCAGCCCAACAGCGAGAACGAGCTTCGGCAGAGTTACACGCCTCGACCGAATTGTATTTAATCGCGTCACGTCGATCGCGATGGATCGTCCCGTGGAACGATCGCGCGAGGATCGACGAGAACGGTACAGCCGCGAGCGGTCGTTTTTCCGGTAGTTATGAATTTTTTGTTCGCTTTTCAAACGTGTACGTTCCGTTTCGATACGTCGAACGACTTACGGTCTCGTGAATTTTTCTTAACTCGTCCCTCCCTCAAGCTAAGAATGTCGCAATAAGTTTTATAAAATTTTGTTACGATGAAATAATACACGCGACTGTGTATATCAATTTGTACACATTGTTCTTGTATATAGAATGTATTGTTCGAAAGATACATATATATATATATAGAGATAAGCTCGATCGATAAAAATGGTGTATCCTAGCGTGGACTCGGCAGAGGACACTGTACGGTGTGCAATACTCTGTGCATCCAGTTGCCCAACCGGGGAGAATCCGCGAATTAATTCCAAAAGGAACAGAAAAAAAGAAGAAGAAGAAGAAGAAGAAGAAGAAAAAGAAAAGAGAGAAAAAAATGAATTCCAAAAGATTCGAGATACACGGTACATTCTTTTGGAGCGATTATACGCGTCGGTACGTTGGAGTGATTTTTCGAAAAGCGGCCGTGATTCGCGCCTGAACGTTTCAACGGTGAGAATCCGTTTATTCGAAGGAACGTCTGGTATTAATTCGTGGATCGGGTCGGTCACACGATTCGCGTTGATCTATTCGTAAGAGTGGTCCTAGCACGAGTAAGCCGAAGGACGGATGTAACATTGGTATGGAAGTTTGTGTCACGTGTTCAGAGGCAACGGTTCGGTGGAAGAGATACACGCGTTTACGAGCCAACTTTGATCATCGAGCCTGTAACACTTGTGTTTGCGGCGTTGACGACACGACACGCTGCTGATTATTTTTATTTCTGTACGTTGACACGACATTCAACGTTGTTGTACAATTTCAAGTAACTCGTAATCTTACCGATCGTCTCGCTCCGAGTCCAATTACCGCCGAGAGTATTGTAATTTCCTTTCGCACCGATAACAATGCAAACAAGTTCGCGGAACCCCATGTCACGTGACACAAAAATACATATCCGATGTTGAATCTATATTTAGCTTTACCCGTGCTCTTCCCCTCTCCCGACTTTCCATTTCCTCCAACCCCCATTCACAAAAGTGCTAAGAAGGAATTGGATGTTGGACGACGCGTTGTTTCTCATCGGCTTTCCCATTACATCTCGCTCGAAAGAAATCTTTTCTACGGTTTAATTACTCCGGTGCTGAGAAACGAATCACCGCGCGACGGAACTTTTCTATGTTTTCTACGCGGAGCATTTCGAACCCGTGGCCTCCAACCTGGCAGATTTCCCCGTAGAGACAGACGCCGCCCCTTCGCCGATCCGTTTCTACCTTGTCGAACGACCCTGTCGTTCTCGATTCGAAGTTGCATGTACCGCACAACCGAATGTTGACGATGCCCTCTATGTTTTTGTCGTGCAACTAGCATCCAAAGCGAAATCGATTCGTCGTCGACGCTCGCGAGAGACTTGCGAGTCGAACGAGACACGACACAGTAACGGAGAAGACGATACCGTGGTATAGACTGCGAATGTTTATGCGAGTTTCGACATTTCTACGAATTCATTGAAAACAACTGTACAGTGCTCGAGAATGACCCTCCTGGTTCCGTTCAATCTCGTCCACGCTACCAAGGTGCATATCCCGGAGAGGAAACGAGTTCTCGGTATAACCTTATCGTCGTTCGACTCCGCCGTTTTCCGAGCATCCCTCGCTTTCGACCAATCTCCGTTCGACGGCATGCACCGCGGTTGATACAACAGCGAGTTACCGCTAATGGCACGACGCGTTACACGCGTGCCGCCCTATCAGCCACGATCCGGGCTAGAGAACTTGCTCGCCGCTGCGGAACATCATCAAAGTCTCCTCGTATATCAGTTTTCATCGGAAGACATTGACAGTCCCGGTCTGCTTCTAATTTCCACCGCACGTTTCTCGGTAGAGCACTTGGCAGTGCGAGCAGAATACCACTAAAATACCTGGTTGCCAGCCAAAGTCTGAAACACCATCGGGTTAACGTACAGAGACGCGACGTCATCGTTAACTCTCTCTACGGGACTCCGCTGGATCCGCCCCCCCCTGTAACGTCGTTGGAAACGATCGACTACCACCGCACAGTTAGACGTTTCGTCTCTTTCGTTTTCATTCGATCGTTTGCATTTTCGTAAAATCCCGTGCAAGGTTCGAGAGCGCATAAAGATCCGCAGTCTAGCGAATACACGAATCTATTCGAAGTCGAAACGAGGGAATAATGCGAAGAGATTGAATCGAATTGTTTTCGAACGTTCGAATCACGAATCACGGTTCGAGGAGATGTGTTGTCCGTGACTCGGGCCGACGCGACGCGTCGCACTGTAAATAGCTGCCTTAGCCACCCGTGTATAAGTAATCAACTATGTATAAAGTTTCATACATTGTTTAGGTTTTTAGTACTAGTTATCCGAAATCAGTTACCAATTATACGAACAAATTGCGAATAAACTGCAAAAACATAAGATCGTACTGCGTCGGTTCTTTCCCGCCTTCATTTCACGTCGTTCTAACCTGACTCTTCCGAACAGGTACGCTGCGAAGGACACGCACCACGTATCCACCTACTCGGTTGAAACGTTGAGAACAAACGGCAAACGTGTGTATAATATTTTTCGAATATTTTTTTATTGAGTGTTGCGAATATATATACAAAGGATGGCGAACTAATAACTATTACATTAGAACCAAATAAACAAAGGTTACGATAATAGTATTAACTCGTGTTAATAATATTTATTTAAATAACGTAATCATAACGATGTGTGTTGAATTTTTTAAAAAGGACATATTTTCACTGCGTACCTTGAACGCGTCTCCGTCGTGTATCGACTCGCGTTTTCCTATCGAACGTTCCTTCTCCCGGCGATCGATCGTTCTCGTGTCGCGTCAACGTTGTTTCGCGAGCCTCGATCCCTCGAAGCGAAAGGAATACGAATAAAAGGGAAACGACCGAGCTTGACATCGACAACACGATCGAAAAAAAAAGGGAAAAAAAAAGAAAAATCGTCGTCGACCGACTGTACACGGAGAGACAGGAAATCCAGCGAATGTTCGTTTAGCGTCCCTTCGCGCGTTGTCTTTCCGAGGAACGCGCGGTATATCGGAATTATCGTGCGTCCTTTCTCGTTCGTTCACGATCGCTCCGCATGCACGTGAAAAAGTGAAAAATTTCTACCGTTTGCACAAGCCGTTTCCGGGTTTGCTCTATATCGTCGTCGACGTTCGGAGACGTTTGTGCGTATAAAGGGTTCTCGAGCGTCCGAGAATCGATTGCAAACTATCCAAGTGTCACGATATCACCGTGTGTGTCTGACCGACGGGTGTTATAAAATCGTGTAAAAAACCTGTGAACACCGTATATTCTTCCCGCCGTTCGATGCCTCTACGGTACAGCACGCATCGAATCGATCGATCGAAATTATTTCAGATACCATGAAAACAATCGAGCCGACTTTTCACGCGTCAACGATAACCTCTCTCTCTCTCTCTCTCTCTCTCTCCCTCTCTCTTTCTTTCTCTCTTTCTCTCTCTCTCTCTCGTTCGTTGGCTCTCTGTCTCCGTCTCTGTCG